AAGTTTAATATAGGGAAATAACCTTTTACAGAGATGTTGAAAGACCTAAAAATAAGTGCCAGTGAGGTTATCTAGAAAGTACCAATTACAAGAAGCTACTACTACCCCTGGGACCTGAGGAACAGAGAAGGACTAGTGTTATCCAAATAGGAGCCCGGGCTACCCTGTGGGAGCTAGAACCTTGGAGAAGGAAACACCCAAACATGCTGGAAGCATAGCACAGTTGCCTGGTAGGAACTGGACCACAAAGGGGGGCGCTTCCAGGTAGGAGGTGGAACCACAGAAGAGACACAGCCACTGCTTGGCATGCTCCCAAGGCATAGAGGAGAGAAACACCTTGGAGTCTCCCCCTCCCAAACTTCCATTTCCTGCCAGTAACTCTTATCGGCTGAACCTAACCAGAAGGTAGTGAGAAAAGGAGCCTGAGAATGCAGAGTAGGCCCTTGAGATTCAAAGCAGGGGAGGGCAGAAAGTGGATCTAAGAGAAAACTGGCAAATAACCTGAATAAAAATTGGAAAAGGAAATACAAATAACCAATAAACATAAGAAAATATGTTCAACTGCATTAGTAATCAGAAAAATGCAACCTTAAACTACAATGAGATACCATTTTGCTCCCCACCAAAAATGTTAAGATGCCAAGTACTGAGGATGTTCAGCAGCGGGAATGTTTGTACACACTGCTGGGGGTGCAAACTAGAAAGCACACTGGCATTGTCTAATAATGTTGATGCTGAACATACCCTATGCTCTAGGAATTCCACTTCTAAGAACTCACTCTCAGGAAAATCTAGCCATGTGCACCAGGAGACATGTACAACAATGTTCACAGAAGCATTGCTAACTACAGCAAATTACCCAGCTGGAAACTACTCAAATGTCTACCAGCAAGGGAATGGATAAAGTATGCTTTATTCTTACAATGGAACATTGCATAAAAATGAACAAACTATAGCTACACACACCAACACAGATAAATGTCACAGGCATGATTTTGAGCAAAAAAGATAAGTGCCCCCCAAAAAACTTGAAATGATTCTACTTACATAAAATTCAAAGACTTGCAAAGTTATATAGACTATTTAAGGAATGAATCATATATGGGGAAACTATAAAGAAAGGAATGATAACTCTGAGGAGGGGTTACGTATGTGTGAGAGTAAGGTGGACATGATCAGGAGGAGACCGACAGCCTAGCTACTCTTTTTGAGGTATGACACATTTTATAATTTAAAATTTCACTTTAGAGATCTAAAAGCTCATGTTCCCTCTTCCTAATTGTGATGGGGAATAAAATAATACTAACATTCTCACACATTCATGCAAGTTCTATAGTTAGATGTCCATTTTGGTATCCTTACTTATCTATTGACCTTGGCCTAGTTATACTAGTTATATCAGTCTTGTCTATGTTGTCTCAGTTTCCACATCTGTAAAATAAGGATAATAATATTTCATTCATAGGCTAATTATTAGATGCAAGAGCATACAGGAAATGCTCAGCACATGGCCTGGCACCTGGCAGGTGGCAGATGTCTGTTGTTTTGCTCACATCATGGCCTCAGCCATGTGGTGTCCTCCCCACCACCTCTATCTAGTGACTGTTACTCATCCAAGGACATCCAACCTAGTGCTTGAAGACCCTCCCACCCATCCACCCCAGCTGATTTCTCCCTTTTTTAAATGCGTAGATCTCCTGTTGCCTGCACCAGGCATTTACCATGTATTTATTTATTCATTCATCCTTTATGAGGCACTTACTGTGTATTTATTCATTCACTGATCCAGCAAATCATGGTCCAGGTACTGGAAACACAGAAGTGCCTAAACAGACACTGCCTTCATGGGTCCTGCAGCCTAGAAAGGGAGATAGACATTCCGCAAGTGAGCAAGTGAATAATTGTTCAATCCAGCTATGATAAGTGCTATCAAAACAAAGTGTGGGATGCATTGAGAACCTATCACAGAGGAAATTGACCTAGACTGCAGAGTCAGGAAAGATTTCTTTGAGGAAGTGACATTCAGGGTGAGACTTGAAGGATACACTGCTTTCTATTATCACCATAGGCAATAAATACTTATTTAAGACATATAACCTAGGTGGAGTATCAGTGCACATGTAACTACAGAAAAAGTACAGTAGTCCCCCCTTATCCATGGGGAATATGTTCTAAGACCCCCAACAGATGCCTGAAACCAAGGATGGGACCAACTCCGATAAATACTATGTTTTTCCTATACATAACCATGATAAAGCTTAATTTATATATTAGGTATGATTAAGAGATTAACAACAGTAACTAGTAATAAAAAATAAACAATTATAACATATACTGCAATAAAAGTTATGTGAATGTGGTCTCTCTTCTTTCTCTCTCTTTCAAGATATTGTACTATACTCATCCTCCTAGTAATGATGGGAGATTATAAGACACCTACATGATGAGATGAAATGAGCTGAATGATGTAGTGACATAGTTTTAGGCTTCTATTGACCTTCTGATCAGACATCAGAAGAAGGAACACCTGCACTGTGGTTAACTGAGGGTAACTGAAACCACAGAAAACAAAACCGCAGATAAGAGGCAACTACTCAAGCAGCAGGAAGCATACGTGTTAAATGCCAAGTGAACACAATGCAACAATATCCAGATGTTTGGAATCCCAAGGGTTAAGGTTCTTCTTAGAGACATTTTATATAAAATGTGAGATTTGAGCAGAGCCTTAACTGGAAGGGTAGGACTAACACAAGAGAGAGGGAAAAGAGGCATTCTAGATTGGAAAAAAATATGGCTATATGGGCAGAGATAGGAAAGGGCAAAACAGATCAGACAGGTTGCTTGAACCAAGGAGTGACATAGGAAGGTAATTAAAAGTTCAGATCGTAGAGGAGCTTGCTTTATCCTACATAAGTTTTCTTTTTGTATTATGGGCTTCTTTGAGACTCTCATGAAAGCCCTGGACCTCTTTTCTTTCTCAAAAAAATTTTTTTAAGTGTATTCATAAAGCTGTATATAATTTCAGGAGTTCACAAGCCTCCTGAACTCCCTGTTAGCACTGAAAGGATGTGAGTAGAAGAAAGGTGACATACTCCAAACAAAGATTCCTTTTCCTGAGAGAGAAATTGCTGGCAGGAAGGTCAATTGAGAAATTACTGCAACATAATGCAAGCAGGAGCTTTTGTGGCCCTACGCTAAGGTCGTGGCTCTAGGAATTTATTAATTAAGTAAACTCATATTTATTGAGAGCTTACTCTGGGTCAGGCCTGGTGCTCAGTGTAGGACGGTAATAATGAGAAGGTAAGACCCCTGCCCCCAACTAGCTCCAAGCTGGGCAGGATCAGAAAGGCAAGCAGCCACAAATGCAAAGGGAATCAGAGCAGTAGCAGATTGTCTTACTCAGAACTTTCCACTGACCAGTTCTAGAGAATCAAATCAATGCCTTTGACATCATATTCAAAGCACTTCACAACACAGCCACAACGCACCTCTCTGTTGTCATTTTCACTAAGTCCTCCACCACAACTACCTTCAACACACACACATGCACCCTGCAGGATGGCCATACTGGACTGACCTCTTCTGACATAGCTTTGCATTTTCCTGCCATTCTGTCACTATTTTTCTCCAAGTAGCTGTGCATGGTCAAATTCCTACCCACTACCCAAGGCCCAGTTTAGGTGTTGTCTTCCTTGAAGCTTTGTCTAGTCTCCGCATTCATTCTGCCCTGAGTTAAACTGTGTGTGCCTCAGTCTCCCCCAGTACTCAGTAAACCTGAGCAGGCAGGGATGTTGTCTTTTTATCTTATCCTGGGAGGTGCCCATCCTCATAATGGCAAGTGCTTAACATATCTACTGAACTAAAAGGCCCCGGTAGGGAGAGAACAGACCCAAGGTAGATTTGGGAGCCATCAGTGAAGCCTTGGCAGCTGGAATCAAGAAAGGCAACCTAGGGGCCCCTGGGTGGCTCAGTAGAGAAGCATCTGCCTTCAGCTCAGGTCATGATCCCAGGGTCCTGGGATTGAGGCCCGCATCGGGCTCCCTGCTTCTCCCTCTCCCACTCCCCCTGCTTGTGTTCCCTCTCTCGCTGTGTCTCTGTCAAATAAATAAAATCTTTTTAAAAAAAGGAAAGGCAACCTAGATGTTCCTCTCCTCATGGAAGAATTCAATCTTGGGGGACAGCAATGAAGGCGATTCTGGGTACACACCATGTGCTTTTATGAGGTTTGAAATTACAGGACATTCACACCCAGGCAACTTATTAAGTCAGCCTATTTATAATGACTACAGATCCCACAGGGAGAGGATAAATATTACTCTCACATCGCTGGTTTGGGATGCAGACTTCCACATTTCTACTGGATTATTATTATTATTATTTAATTATTAAGAAAAGAGCTTACGTGCAAAGGTCAGATGGTTATAAGGCCTAAATCGTTGGAAGTATTGATTGTAGGGTCACTCAAATAGCTCTTGCTTTTAATTCTTTAACAATTGTGGGTGAAACTGCAGCGTGCCTTTGTTTGCGCTACCCAAATACACAAGACGCAACCAAGGCCACCTGAATTCTTTGGCTTGACCGCAGCAGCAACCCTACGGGCGCAGACTTCCGCCTTTGGGGTCCGAGAGGTTGTGGGTGCCTTTCCAGCCCAGCCGGGCAATGAAGTCCTCCCACACTGAGGTGTGCTACACAGAGAACAAGGTCCTAGACAGACCCAACCCACCCACCAGGGTGTTGCCAAGTCCCAGCAAGTGCCGCGTCTCCTCAACTTTACTGAAGAAAAGGAGGGAGCCAGGACCCCCAAGCCCGGTAGTGTGCGAGACACTGCTCTCTCGCTCCACGCGCGCTTCCCGCCTCCGGGAGGGTCGGTCGTCCAGAAGGTGAGCCTAACTCTCAGCTCGCCGTCTTCCCGCCATCAATTCCACGCCCTTGCCCCGCCCCACCTCGCCAGATTGGCCGAGGGCGGAGGGGGCGTGGCCAGACCCCCCGGGAGGCTGGCGGCAAAAGCGCAGGCTGGGCGCGTCAGGACGGGTGGGTGCCGCGTGCGCCTGAGGACCCGGTTGGACTGCTTGGGCCGGCTCAGGATGAGGACGCGCTGGGCGACCCTTCGCCGCGCGGCGGAGCTCCTCGTGCTACTCCTCAGGTGCTTCGGTCTGGCGGAGCCCTCTGGCCGCACAGGTAACCGCGGGCGCTCCAGCCCACCGGCGGCTAGGGCCCTCGACGTTGTCAGGTCTGCCGGCTTTCCTCGGTTCGGGTTAGGGCTGCGCTCCGGGTCTCGTCAACTCTGCTTGCCCCGGGGGTCTGGCACCCAAGAAGTGAGCCCGCCGAAGGGGAGGTCTGAGTAGAAGGCGCTCCATGGCCCTCGGGCGCCGGGTGGAGGGCGGGGTGGGGCGTGGAGTAGCAGGGCCTTTCTCTTGCTAAAGAAGAGGCCACCTTAGAGAAGAGGCACAGTCTTCTGCGCCCGTCCCCCTCTCCCCCACCCCGCCCCGTCCTCTCGCTTCTAATACCTTGCTTCCCTGGAGTAAAAGGCTCCTCAGCACTCCCCAAACTCCGTCCAGCCCATCTCGCCCCTCCTTCGCCTCTTGGTCACCTTGGCCACTCAGTGTCTAGAGGAACTGTCTACCCACAGCGCCAAGGATGATTAATGATTGCCCGACTTCGCTGCACGATAGCCAAAGGTGCAAGTCAAAAAGGAAGTCCGGTTAAGCTATGTCTCCTAAAATAACCATGATGGTAATTCCGTTATGATGCCCTCCCCGAAAGCCTTGAGCAGCGATCCTTTCTTCTAATGAATGGGTGTATCAGCTCCAAAACACTCCGTCGAGGCCGAGGGCCGCACGTTGAAGCTCTGGTCGCTTGCCCAGGGACCTCCTTCCTGCCTCTAACTGCGGAAGCAGGACCAGGAATAGACTCCCTTCGATGGTGATGCTCTGGGTAGTGCCAGCCTCACCATACCCCCTGGCAGCAACCGGAGTTTGCTTTTACTTTCTTTTTGCCTTGGCAAAAGGTTCCCTGAGGACTTTCTTAGTTGTGCTGCATAGTGGGCAGTCAGTGAGCCATCACCACCTACCACTTCTGTTAATTTGCCTGTATGAGGAAGTAAAAGATGGGCAAGGAAGTTTTTTGAAAACTGTAGGTTCCCCCTTGTGGCTCTTCTTTTCTTGTGGCAGCTAAACTAAGTTACTGCCAGATTTAGACTTTTTTCAGAGAGTGATGGGAAGAAGCTTCCCGCAGTGTGAATAACATCACCCTATCTACATCAAGCTCCTTTTAGTGAATACTGATCTGATTCACCCTTCTCCATTCTTCTTTGACCCTCCCTGGTGGAAACTCCCAAAAGTCCTTTACTGGCTGTGAGAATTCTATTCCACCTGCCCCACAATCCAGGGAGAGAAATTTCATTGCCATAACTAACTACAGTCAAAACACACTAACCTTTCAATCACTGAAGTCTTGGTTTCCATCTACTTCTGCTTTAGTCTTACTGTTTTGTCTCCCCCACGGAATTCCAGATTGCCTTAATTTTTGCATTCTCTACAATCCCTGGCCTTTCTCATCAACCAAAACCAAAGAGCACCAGCTTAACTCCATTTTCCCTGCACTAGGTCCTCATATCCTCATAGGTATTTGTTTTCCTGCATCCTTCCTCATGCTTAGCAGCTGTCCTGGCCAGCTTACACTCACCCTCAGACCAGACTTGTGGTCCCATAAAGGGAAGCACTGGAATTTTGAAACCCCAGCCATTTGAGTAACTTGTTTGGCAGTGTGTCAGCTTCACAATGCTGGTAATGGCATGCACTCTGTCACATGTATGCAGCTAGGTTTGTGCAGATGGTCTGGGTTGCTCAGGTGCTGAAGGAGTTCCTCTGTGTCCTTGGGGAAATGCCAATGCTTATTTACTTTTTTGCCTCCTTGGAGAGCTAACAGCTTGAAGTAAACCAATCCTTCTGAGACTCTTGAGGTTCTCACCAGCCCACACCACCCAATCTGACCCCAAAGCTTTCTGACTCCTAGCAGACTGTCATGGACCCAAGGTCACTTCAGGACCTGTTTTTGAACTGGCAAACCCGGACTTCTGATTCTTTCCTACTCCACCTGTATACTCTGCACATGTGGTGGTGACCACAAAATGCTTAACATTTGAGCTGTAGAAGTTCCCCTGAAACTAAAAATGCTGCAATCTTCATCCTTCTGCCTCCATCTCCCCCTCCATTTGTCTGTGATCATAAAATGTTGATGTCCAGCTTCTCTTTGGAATGTGCAAAGCTCTCTGGTTTAAGTAAGACAAAGGTTACCTAATGATTAGGCAATAGGAGATGGTTTTCCTTTGATGAATGTGGCATACTAAAAGTTCATTTTCAATATATGATAATGCTACTTAGTTATTTCCTCTCAGACACCACTAGAATATTTATATAAAATGAAGCATATAAAAATTGCTACTAGGGATGATGAGGCTTCTTTTCATCAACCTCTGCCTTTTAGATTTGCCCAAATATTGTGTGTGGAAGTAAACATTAAAATTCCATTTAGGACCAATGTAAGGTAACATGAGCAAGATACAGCATAAGGTTGTCAATAAAGAATCTGTTTTTAAGTTGCTCTGTAATTACCTTTTCAAAGTGTAATACATTTCTGAAATATTTTATATACCCTTATTTAACAAATTTTCCTTAAAAAGGAATTATTTTCAGTCCTTCCCACTCTTCAGTCAACCATCCCAATAGGGTCACAAGACTGAGGCAGACTGAACAGCTTCTGCTAAGGGTACGGAAAATATGGGGAAACATCATGAGAAGACAAGATGCTCCCTACCTTATGTATTATGTATGAATGCTTACACATACATTATGTATGAAGGCTAATGGCAAGTTTCCTTAAATCATATCAATAATTAATGTTTGTGCTAAGTGACCACTATAGATGTCAAACATTGATTAAACATACTTGGTTAAAAGACAGATTTAGAATAAGGCAAGTATTTAGACCATAGATGTTGCAATTAGGTAAGTTTGGCAACTCTTCTTTAACAAACCTTCTCCATGCTACTCCACATCTCTCCTGTAGTCTTTCAGAGTTTCTACAAGCTTGTTAAGTCTATGGGTGTCCTAGAAGTAACACATAGAGTAAATGGGAAAGGACAAATTTTTTTTTTCTCTTCCAAAGAGTATTTGTAAAGCATCACTGTTACCTAAGTGCCCATGCCTGATACTAATAGGATTAGAATGACCTAAAATGCTACTAGCATTAGCAGGGCATAATAAAGTTGTGGACATCTGTTCAAGAATAATATACAATGAACTTAGCAAAGACTGGTAAAACCTACAAGGCTAAGAAAACTGTTATCTTGTGTAAGCATAGGATGTTAGTACTGAAAGTGGCTTAGATATCTTATATTATCTCTGCTTTCATCTTATATTTGGAGATACAGAGACCCTGGGGAGATTAAGCGACTTCCCCAAGGTCTCCCAGCTAACTGGTAGCTGAGGTAGGTCTTCAATCTAGGACCTCTAACTCCTTATTCCACTGCTTGTTCCACTATACTAACAGCTGTGGTAGCCTATTGGATTCTGCAAAGGCAACCTGAGAAGTCCAAAACTCCAAACTGCAAATGTAGCAAAGCTACTGTTAGTCCAGTTCACCTATCTGGGTTCAAGGGGCACAGAGCAAAGTGCCCAAGAAAGAGAGCAATGGGACCACAGGGCAAGGGAGGGGAAGGTTCCAGCAAGGGTGGTGGATGCCTATTCTGCAGAAGCAGACTTCTTTTTTCCTGCAGTAATTGCTGATACTTTGGAGTGCAAGATTTTTTTGGAGAAGTGAGAGAGAATAATTTGGGAAAGAGAGAATAGTTTGAAAGACCTTTGTGGGTCTGAGTGGATATTGAATAAGTAGGAGGACATTGGAGAAACTGTGAGTGATAATCTAAGATAGTATGTTTTCCTTTTTATGTTAACTGTCCTCCCAAATGGTGTCCATAAAGTAGAGAATGGCAGAGAGATGGCAAAGAAGAAAGAGTGAGGGATGGAAGCTGCTATGACAAAGACACCTACCTGCAGTCCTGTGTCATACTTTAAAATGTGAAAGCAAAAGTAGCTTAATGTTTTACAGGATTTTGTGGTGGTTCCTATTGTTTCTCTTCTTGCTACTGCTGCTGCTTAAAACAAAAAATTCTCTTTAAAGTTCAAGCTGAAACGTGACTTGATTTTATAGTTATTATTTACATGATGAAATTTCCCCTCAAGTCCTTGGTATGAGAATTTTTAACTCTGAAAGCCTGGGAATTATTATTAGAAAAGGTATTTAGCACCAGTAAAATCAGCAATTGTGAAGCTGGCATCATAATGAAAGTGCTTTTTGGGAACTAAAGTTTTACAGGTCCTTCTGCTGAACCCTTTGGTTTATTGACAATTATTGTTTAAATTTGTCTAAAATATTTCAGTTTTACTCTCATCCACATGAACTTTTGTGCTATTACTTCAAAAAATTTTTCTTTGTAAAAGCACTGGCCAAATTGTTCGATTGTAGTTTGTTGTAACAGATGTGAATCCTGTTCCACAAGCTCAGGTGTGCAAGAAACAATGCATTACTTTATTTTTATAAAATCAAAATAAATTTTATTCTGAAGTCCCATTCCACCAAGTTAACAGAACTTCAGTTTCTGTCATCACTGAGGTCTCCCTAATTCATGAGAAACTGCAGGGAAATATTCAGGGAGGTCCCTCCTGTAACCTTCAGCTTACACTCGTTGCTTCTGAGTTTCCCACTATCCAAACCTACTGGGTGTTGAATTCTGTATCTCAGGTGATTTCTGGAGCTCAGGTTCAACCTCCCTAGGTGATCCACACAGTCAGCAGCACCTGCCCAACCCCTCCCCACGGGCTTCCCATCACGTTCCTGAAGGTGCTACGGTAGAGCAGACCACAGGTCTCTCCTATCCTCAGAATCCAGACCTTCATTTCCTCTCATCCCTTTACCCCACTATTCTACTTCTGCCCCCTCAGAAGTCTCCCCATCTCCTCTGAGACACGGTAATGCCATGTAATAATTTACCCTGCCATAATAGGTAAAGTATAAGCAAGACAGAACTGTGGTCCTGAATAGGTTCAGGATATTTTTCATTGACCACCTGTCTAAGGAAGATGAAAACTAAGGAGCTTCTTCATCTCATTAAATAAAGGGGAGGGGGCATATTTCATGGAATAACAATAACAAATATACATACTCTTCTAAGTGCTTTACGGGTATGAGCTCATTTTAACCTAACATCTTCCATATGAAGTACTATTTTACAAAGGAGGAAACTGAGGCATAGTGGTTAAATAACTTGCCCTGATCACATGGGTAATAAGTAGCAGAGGCAGACTAGGAACCCTGGCAGACTGGCTCATGCTCTTAACACACACTATACTGCCTTCTGGCTACCACTGTCCTCTGACCTTGTGTAGTGCATTGCAGTTTATAGAGGTTGGAGGGTGGGAATAGTCCAGTGGTGCTCAGACTCTCCTCAGCAAGCAGGGGCCAAGGCACACTGACCACACAGTTCAGAATTCTGAAATGTCTTCCGTGACTGTCTGTCTTGACTCAGGCAATGATCCATTCACTATCGTCAATGAAAACATGGGCAAGTGCATCAAGCCACTGAATGACTGGATAGTAGCAACAGACTGTGGTGGAAGTAGGGACGTGTTATGGAAGTGGGTGTCTCAGCATCGACTCTTTCATTTGCAATCCCAGAAGTGCCTTGGGCTAGATATTACCAAACCCACAGATTCCTTGAGAATGTTCAACTGTGACTCCAGTGCCTTACTCTGGTGGAAATGTGAGCACCACTCTCTGTATGGAGCTGCCCAGTACAGACTGGCTCTGAAGAATGGACATGCTGTAGCAAGTACAAATTCATCTGATGTCTGGAAGAAAGGAGGCACAGAGGAAAACCTCTGTGACCAGCCTTATCATGGTGAGTATTGGAGAGGGACTTTGAGTCATTTGCTGTTGTGTTCGGTAAATGTGACATCGAACATGCACAACTGACCACAAATAAAGTCATGCACTGGTAAGGGCAATGAGCTAGCATTCCCAATTCCAGACACTGTGCATTATCATTGAGCTACGTATGCCTTACCATGGTGAGTATTGGAGAGGGACTTTGAGGCATTTGCCATTGTGTTTGGTAAATGTGACATTGAACATGCACAACTGACCACAAAGTCATGCACTGGTAAGGGCAGTGAGCTAGCATTCAATTCCAGGCACTGTGCATTATCATTGAGCTACCTATGTGAAATTGGTGCTACTTTTCCCCTTTTACAGGTAAGGCTAGAAGGGGTTGGGTGCCTTGTCAGAGGTCACACAGTCACTCTGTAGTAAACCTGGGATCTGGAATCTCTATGATACATGAGCATATGTATTTCCTATGATTACATTCTGAACTCCAGAGGAAAGGAAACATTAGAGTAACAGGAAATCCTTCATACAGGTTGAAATTCAAATGACCTAATAAAATCAAACCTATTCTAAGTTTAAAAAGAAGAAAAAAGAAAAAGAAAAATAAAGGAAATACATTTCTCCTTGTCTACAGATTTTTATGTAATGGAAAAACTTTAAGACCTTGGGTGAGTTCATTTTTATTTTTGGCATGGCTGTCACACTTTGATGTTTGTGTTTATGATTTTGAGTGGACTTTTTCCTCAATTGCTTTAAAAAATAAGTACAGTTGACCCTTGAACAATGTGAAGGTTAGGGGAACTGCCCCCCATGCAGTTAAAAAGTTGACTCACCCAAAACTTAACTACTAATAGCCTACTGTTAACTGGAAGCCTTACTGACAACGTAAACAGTTGGTTAACATGTATTTTGTATGCTATATATATATTACATACTGTAGTCTTACAGTTAGGTAAGCTAGAGAAAAGAAAATGCTATTAAGAAAATCATAAGGAGGGGCGCCTGGGTGGCTCAGTTGGTTAAGTGTCCAACTCTTGGTTTCAGTTCAGGTCATGATCTCTTGGTAGTGAGACGGAGGCCTAGGTCAGGCTCTGCTTTGAGCATGGAAGTTGCTTAAGATTCTCTCTCTCCCTCTCCCTCAGCCCCTCCCCCACTCAAGTGTGTGCATGTGTGTGCTCTCTCCCTCTCTCTCTCAAAAAAAAATTATAAGGAATAGAAAATACATTTACAGTACTGTACCGTATTTATCGAAAAAACCCACATATAAGTGGACCCTTGCAGTTCAAACCCATGTTATTTGAGTGTCAACTATATATGAATATTGCCTATGAGGGAGCTGATCATGAACTTTGTTCTGGGTCTAGAAACTAGATTATAACAAATTTCCAAGTTTAAAAAGAATGAGTCAGTTGGGGCGCCTGGGTGGCTCAGCTGGTTAAGTGTCCAACTCTTGATCTCATCTCAGGTCTTGATCTCAGAGTCATGAGTTCAAGCCCCACACTGGGCTCCACGAGTTGGGCTCCATGCTGGGCGGGGAGCCTACTTAAAAAAAAAAAAAAAAAGAATGAGTAGGTGTAATTAGTTACCACCCAAGCAAATCTTTTTTATCGTGTTGCTCTAAATTACATCAAATCTTGATATATAAACATATATTTAATCATCTCTAAGTCTTAACTATTATCTCACCTTTGCTCTTCTTTGTAAATTTACTTAGCTTTACAGAGATTTTTCTTTTCTCTCAAAGCTCAGTTAAGCTAAATTTGGCCCCTTAGTCTTTCAGTTATCTGCACAAATTCCTCTCCTGTAGTAACTATTTCTGTTTCCTATTGAAGATGCATGCATCCATTTCTAAGATGTGAGGTTCTACTCTTATGGGAAAGTATTAGATTAGAGAATTAGAGATGGGGATTTCCTTTTCTTTAATCCTCAGTCCTTGAGTAGTTGAACAAGTTTGTTTTTGCTAGCCAGCTTCTTCCCGTATATAAAATGGAATATTATGCAGCCATCAAAAAGAATGAAATCTTGCCATTTGCAATGACATGGATGGAACTAGAATGTATTATGCTAAATGAAATAAGTCAGTCAGAGAAATATTACCATATGGTTTCACTCATACGTGGAATTTAAGAAACAAAACAGATGAACATAGGGGAAGGGAAGGAAAAATAAGATAAAAACAGACTGGGAGGCAAACCATAAGAGACTCTTAACTATAAGGAAAGAACTGAGGGTTGCTGGAGGGAAGGTGAATGGGGGGATGGGGTAAATGGGTGATGGGCATTAAAGGGGGTATTTGCTGTAATGAGCACTGGGTGTTAAAGGCAAGTGATGAAATTAAATTCTACCTCTGAAACTAATGATACACTATATGTTAACTAACTTGAATTTAAATAAAACCTAAAAAGAAAAAAAAAAAGAAGCAATTACTTTCTGGATACCACTTAATGGCAAGTTTAAATTTTGCCCTTTGAAAATCTTTCTCTAACTTGGCAGCTAAGAGAGAACATGGAATGAAAGGAAAATGCCTTTTGAACTGGATTTGACTTGTTTCATTGTATTTGTTCAAAGATCAGAAAGGATAATTTTCTTGGCAGGGCTCTCCCTGTCTCCTGACCCAAGTTCTTTTGAGGGATATAGTTGTAATTGTAAATTCCTTCAGTCCCCCAAATTTCAGTCTAACTGGTTTTCTTTGTAATCCTATGGTTTTTATTTTATGCATTTGTAATATTCTCCTGAGAAGGGGACCTGCTCATTTCACACAGCTGCCAAAATGATCAGTAGCACAAAAAAGTTTAAGAACCCACCTAGGGTACCACCCCAGAGAGAGCTTAAACAGTCCCTCCAGCAAGAGCCCACAGGCATAAAGTATTTCCTGATCTTACCAGATACAATATTTGGAACACTGAATTTTCAAAGAAGAAATTTAGAGATTTCTGAGAAAAGGCTCCCATAGCTCTGACTCATCGTCACATACCTCAAGTTTTGATTTGCACAGAAGCCAGGGTCAAACCTGCCTCCTCCATTCCTTTCCAGGTGATTGGTACCATCTAAGTCATATATGTCAGAAATCTACAAGTCACCCTAGAGTGTCCTGCTTTCCTCTCTCACCATTTAAATTTAATCACATATTAAGTCCTGGAAGTTTTACTCTTTTAAATTTATGTAGTCCCTTCCTCTTCTTAGATTAGAGACTACTGTCTGAAGTTCAGGACTTTATCTGGGACTGCTATGTCAGACTCCCCATATTGGTTCCTGCCCTACCTTTTGTCTAGCTTTATAGAGATAAGAAGGATAAGATACTTGAGTCCCAAAAGAGTGAAATCCAAGGTTACCCAGCTTGTTAGAGCAAGGCTACCATTCAAAACCATGATTGAATTCCCCAAATATAGCTTTTTTTATTTCTCCCTTGGTTTTTGCTCTATAAATTTTTTTTATAAATTTTTTTACGTCTAATATAAGAAAAATTATTTGTCATTGTGTCCTGGGTTGCCTTTCTCTCCAACCCCCATGGGAGTCATGTTCATCTGAGAGAAAACTTTAGCTGTATAAATGTTATGAATGAATTGCTTTTGACTAGCATCCAGATATGCATTTATATCAATCATTAAGATATCTTGAGCTCACTCGCACTCTTCAAATTTTGAGTATTTGGCAAATCCAGGGGAAAATGACTGAACTGTCTACATTTTGAACAACTCTTAGGAGCCTGCCAGCCTCTTTAACCACTGAAGCTATTTTGCCTCAATGAAGAAATTAATGTTCGTTTTCCATGTAAGTGATTCAAATCACAAATTTGTACCTATTGCAGAATATGCTGTTGTTTTAAGAGTGCTATCATCATAAATTCACACAGAAGATTCTTCTCAGGAAAAGCCTGTCTCTCTAGAGGAACACATGGGATTTAAGAGGTCCAGTAGCAGTGAAGAATGTGTGAGAATAAAACTCTTCCTGAATAGTTAGCATAATTTAGCTGCTACTGATGTGGTGGTTGTTATATGCTTATCATTCTTCAAAGTATATTGTGAATAGGAGAGCTTTTTAATTGAAGCCCAGCTTTGAGCTATGAAACATAACTTGAAACCTGAGAAGGCAGCCATTAAAGTCACAAGGTGTCCTTAACATGTCAAGGACTCTAATGAGAGAGCCAGTTCTCATCTCTGTCACTTACAGTTTACTGAATGTCTTACTTAACCACACTGCAAAAATGGAGATTTCACAAAAAAGTGTAATACTTGCCCTATTAATCTCACAGGTTTACGGTAAAGAGGAAGTTTTATTTTATTTTTTTAAATTTTATTATGTTATGTTAATAACCATACATTACATCATTAGTTTTTGATGTAGTGTTCCATGATTCATTGTTTGCGTATAACACCCAGTGCTCCATTCAATACGTGCCCTCTTTAATACCCATCACCAGGCTAACCCATCCTCCCACCCCCCTCCCCTCTAGAACCCTCAGTTGTTTCTCAGAGTCCATAGTCTCTCATGGTTCATCTCCCCCTCCGATTTCCCCCTTCATTTTTCCCTTCCTACTATCTTTTTCTTTTTTTTTTTTTTAACATATAATGTATTATTTGTTTCAGAGGTACAGGTCTGTGATTCAACAGTCTTACACAATTCACAGCGCTCACCATAGCACATACCTTCCCCAATGTCCATCACCCAGCCACCCCATCCCTCCCACGCGCCACCACTCCAGCAACCCTCAGTTTGTTTCCTGAGATTAAGAATTCCTCATATCGGGGCACCTGGGTGGCTCAGTCGTTGGGCGTCTGCCTTCGGCTCGGGTCATGATCCCGGGGTCCTGGGATCGAGCCCCGCATCAGGCTCCCTGCTCCGTGGGAAGCCTGCTTCTCCCTCTCCCACTCCCCCTGCTTGTGTTCCCTCTCTCGCTGTGTCTCTCTCTGTCAAATAAATAAATAAAATCTTAAAAAAAAAAAAAGAATTCCTCATATCAGTGAGATCATACGATACATGTCTTTCTCTGATTGACTTATTTCTTAAGCACACTTTTAAGCAAATCTGTGAGACATTTTAATGGACCCTAATAGCCTGATAAAGGGTGATAAGATCTGACTATTATGCTTTACCCAATAGCCATTATTTGATATGATAATGACCTTGGTTTTAAACAAATTAAGGATATGGATAAAGGTAACCAAAATAATTACACAGTTAGCTGTTCTAATAAAACACCTTTCCAAGAGAACTGTTATCCGCAAAAGTATTGAGCACTTCCTTTAGTGTTTCTAAAGATACTTTGAGATCGGAATAATTTTTTCAGTTCCTCTCCACGTACCAGGGGAAATTATTAAAATGAAAAACTAGTTCTGCTACATCGCTGGCCACCAGCTAGTCCCATGACTGCCCAGCTAAAGCTGGTTCTTTTATAACCTGAATTACCATGCCCTGCTTCTCTCCAAGAACCTTCTCAGAGATCCAGCTGTTGTTTCCCCCACTTCTTGAGACGCACAACCTCAATTCTACCACCAATCAGTGAACAATGGGGCTATGTGTCCATCTGTCTAACTACAGTTGGTTCCAAAGTCCACACCCACCCTCAGTGATTCCAAGGTATTTTTCTGGCCCCACTCTTACTAAAGAAAATAAAATAGAATGTAAATTTAGTCTCATGCAGGGCACTCCTTCTGGTGAAGTTCTCTGCCATCCATGGTAATCAGTTGATCCCTGCTGAATCAAGCCAGAATCATTTAGCTCTTCATCACACCACAATAAATGAAGGTTTACATGGATTATCTCATTGAATCCTCTTGAACAAACCTATAAGCTAGATATGATTATTCCTAATTAACAAATATAGAAACTGAGGCTAATAAAAGTTGGAGAGCTTGCCCACAGTCCCACAGTTGAGCCAGCATTCAAGTTCAGAGCTGAATGCTGCATCCATGCTCTGAATTTTCACACTGTGCAGCCTACCTACATACTATATTCTCTTAAGTGAAAACAGCAATCTTTCTCTCACAGAAAATTTAGGAATCGGTTAACTGAAGGTGATTGTCCAGTTTTTAACTTTCCTTTCCTCTACTTCCTCCCCACACCACAGAGATATATACCAGAGGTGGGAACTCCTATGGAAGACCTTGTGAATTTCCATTCTTAGTTAATGGGACCTGGCATCATGAGTGCATTTTTGATGAAAATTATGGTGGGCCATGGTGTGCAACCACCTTAAATTATGAATATGATCAAAAGTGGGGCATCTGCTTAAAACCAGGTATGTATGGGCTAGCAGGCTTTATATATGAAAAGAAAATGGATACCATTTATGTGAGGCCAAAGGAAGAAGGAAGAGTTTGAGATAACTCAAAAATGACCGCAACAAATATTATCCTAGAGAAGGTATGTATTTGAGGAGAGAAAAGGAAGTAATGTGTAGCTATGAACTTGCTTTCAGAAGTAGGCCAAGGAAAGAACCAAGAGAAGATGGTGCCATGGAAGACAAAGGAGGAGGGAATGTTCTATAGCACAGATGCCTTAGGAAGAGGAAGTGGAAAAGGCATGAGCAGTTAGGAAATTGCTGCTGACCTTTGCTACAGCAGTTTCAAAAGACCAGTGGTCGTAGAAGCCAGGTTATAGTGGACTGAAGTGTGAACAAGAAGTAGAGAAAGCCTCTTAAGTTTTATGGAATAGAAAAAGAGCGAGGATGGTGGTTTTGGGGGGTAGATAGGTTGAAGAAAAACTGTTAGGGTGGTAGAGACTTAAGTATATTTATGGCCTAAAGCAAAGAGGGACCAAAGAGACCTATATCCCTGGTCCTCTCAAAATTAGTGGCACTGTTCTCCTGCCATTTCTTTATGTTGGGCAGAGCATTTTTTCTAATTGCTTCTTACTAGAAGCAAACTACTCAGGGTGTGCTAAAGAATTCACTGTTCTTTAGAAAGAGAGAGAGACCAACGTAGCAGTTGCATCATGATCTGGTATATAACAGACATATTTTCTTACCAGTCAGGTGGGAGTTACAGGTCATAGTACCTGACAAGTGGTAAGTGCTCCAGATTAATTGGGCAATAGTTTGGAAGAGTGTCTAATAAAGAGAAAGGGAAAAGCTCCAGACGTGGGTAATAATATTTAATACTTATAGGGCCCTGCCGAGTGTCAAGTACTATTCTAAGCACTCAAACTATATTAACCCATTCAATCTTCACACAACCCTCTAAGGTAGGTACCACTAATTATCCCCATTATACAGATGAGCAAAGTGAGGTGCAGGGGAGTTATATCATTTGCCTAAGGTCACATAGCTAATACTTTAGAGCTAGGATTCAAATCTAGGAAATCCAGTTCTGAAGTCCTTGACCCAAATAAATACACTATAATGCCTCATTCAGTAGCCAACCTGGTGGTATTACTAATGCTGATGCCTCCTTAAGGGAAGCTGAGCTTCAAAATGACGAGTTCTAAGCAACTAGAAGAGGTTATACTGAGCCAATGGTTCTGCAGCAGAATCACTTGGAAAGTATGTTAGAACAAAGATTTCTGGGGGCCCACCTCCAGAAATTATAATTTGGTAGATTTGGAGTGAGGCCCAAGAATTTGCAGTTCAGTGAGCTCCCAGGTGATGCTGATGATGCTGGTCTGGGGACCACACTTTGAGAATTTACTGTTCTCAGTAGAGGCACAGGCTTTTCAATACTCAGAACCTACTGAAAGATAAAAGCCAATATTTGCTTCAGCTACAGTTGATATCAGGCAGAGTTTGGTCAACTAGTCACTGATTTCATTTAAACCTCACTACAGTCTGGATCCAAAATTTTAGATGTGAAAGGGAGCTTAGAGGTTATCCAGTTGCAAACCCTCATTTCTCAGGTGAGGGGCAGCAGATGCAAATTAATGACACGGCCTGTCAGGGTCAGAACACATTTGTATGGAGTCTGGTGGAGATTCCAGAATTCCTGACCCTCATTCCCCAGTGTACTTATTCCACTCTACCTTGCTTCCTTGACTGTCATTAGTCTCAGTATCTTTAGCTTCCTTTGGGTGGTGGGGGTGAGAATGGGAGTATTCATATACCTCTCAGAGTTATTTTTAGGGAAGAAGCAAGACTGTGAGTTTCTCAAAACCAAGGATGGCTAAACCATGTACATTATATTTTATAGCAAACATACTGCCATCCCACTGGAAGCTTCTGGATTTACAGGCATAAGACCCCAGGGATAATAAGGAAACTTTAGGCGATGTACTTGCAAATCCACGTATTTTGTTTTCATCAAATGTCACATCCACCTCAGTTGCTATTTAGGCCATTCGAAAGTGGCTGAAGAAGCAGTGTATGCCATTCGGAAGATCAAGACCAGATTTAGGGACCAGTGCTCTGATTATAGCTCTGCCACAGACACTTCTAGATCTTTGTTCCCATCTGTGAAATGAGAGCATTAGACAAGATGATCTCAATGGGCCCTTCCAGCTTGAAAGGCCATGAGTCTAACATGTGATGGGTGACTGGTTATTGTAGGCCCTTTGGAAAACTCCCTGAGTGGAACCTGGGACACACTTGGTACAGTCTATATTGGGTTTCCTCTTCTAGAGAGTACATGGGAGTCTCTAAGTATATTTTCGAACCAGTTGTGTCAAGACCTATATATCTCATCTAAGAAATAATTTGAAGGGTCTTTGTCTGAAGTTATACTTGCTTTTTAGATTTTTGTTAAAGAAAATAATATGCACATTATACAATGAACATGTATGTCTGTATACATATGCACACGTATGTCTACATAGACATCTGCAATATTGGTTATATAATATTATGTGTCATATATTAAATCATCTGTTAAAACATTAAGGAGAAATTTAGATTGAGTTTTTCAAATAAGGTAGTCACTTGGGTTCTAAGTCTTAGTTTTAAGCAGCATGTCTGCACACACACACACACACACACAGTGGTTTCACTGCAGGCTGTAGGCAAACCCCTCTGCAGTCTGCCACCATCTTCAAGTGAGCTTGTTTTCCATCAGCTCAGGAGTTTGACAATGTGAACACATTTGAAGACTCCTACATTTCAGCAGAGGGCAGGCATGGGCTAAAATATGGCATTATAATTGATAGGGGATAAAGGGAGAGTAGAGGATAGGAGAGTTGAAGCTTTAATCAACCAAAGTCATTTAGTTCCCATGACTTCGATTTCTTTGTGTAACCAAAGAATCAAAATATGGTCTAGTCGAACAATAAGCTTTAATTTTAGTGTATCCTAAGAGTATGGAAAATGAATTGCAATATTGGTAAGCATTGTTAGTAATATAAAACATTATGCCCTTACTTTATGATCACTAATATATCTTTTTATCAACAGAAAATGGCTGTGAAGATAATTGGGAAAAGAATGAGCAGATTGGAAGTTGCTACCAATTTAATACTCAGGCAGCTCTTTCTTGGAAGGAAGCTTATATTTCGTGTCAGAATCAAGGAGCTGACTTACTGAGCATTGGCAATGCTGCTGAATTAACTTATCTTAAAGGTAAGTTTGCATGTGGTAGAGCAAATTGCTGGGATTGTAAAGATGCCATCTGTCTACCTCTATTTTCATATCCAGGTATGTTGTTTTGTATATATATTTTTCTATCTTCTCTTTAATGTCAACACTGAAGCCCACAGGCAGAAAAGTATGAATATAATCCTATTCTATCCATTGAAAATGCATTTCATGTTTGAGACTGAAAAGAGGGTAATGTTCACAAAATGGAGTGAGGTAGTGGGATTAAACTGCTACCCTAAGCCTAACTGACAAGATTTCTTAAAAGGTGAACATTAAACTCTTTGAACAATGAAAAGTAGAGAAATTAAGGAAGGTGACAAAGATGGCTGAGTCATACCAGAGGCCTCAGTGAAAGGTCCTTGTGTTGAGTAGAGGAGTGCCATCCTCAAAGGCAAGGAGAGGACTAAGAAAATCTTAAAGTGGATTTAATCAATGGACACATTGAGTGGATAGGATTTTGTTTTATTTTGTTTGTGTGGTAATGGTGGGAATTCTTAAATTTTTAATTATGAAAACATATATACAGAAATAGAAAATAACCTGAAAGAAATCTGTGTAACCACCACCCTGACTTTACACACTCTTTATACACTTAACATTTTGTCATATTGCTTTGCATTGATTGATTCCCTGCTTCCCTCCCTTTAAAGAAATACAATGATTTTGTTTTTTGTTTTTTGTTTTAAGATGTTATTTATTTATTTGACAGAGAGAGACACAGCGAGAGAGGGAACACAAGCAGGGGGAGTGGAAGAGGGAGAAGCAGGCTCCCCGTGGAGCAGGGAGCCTGATGCCGGGCTCGATCCCAGGACCCTGGGATCATGACCCGAGCCAAAGGCAGATGCTTAACCCACTGAGCCACCCAGGTGCCCCAAAATAAAATATTAACAGAGTTAAAGCTCCATGTCCATCTCTCAAAATAACCATTCTTTGAGTACTTTTATAACATATATATGTCTAAATACTGTATATGTTTTCATTATACTATTGTTCTGTTTTTAAATGATACAAATGCTTATTTGCCCATATGTAGGTTTATCCATTGTCATCTGCTGCTGTAAAGTATTGCATTGTATGAATAAACCACAACTTATCCATTCTCCTATTGAGAAACAGGTTATTTTCAGCTTTTCCTATTGCAAGGAACATCCTCAGATGTGCCTCATGGGGCAGACATGTATGAGAGTTTCTCTAGAATAGGAATTGCTGAGTCATGGGGCGCACATCTCTTCACCTCTAACCAAAAATTCTGAATTGCTTTCCAAAGGAGCTGCATTCATTTACACCTCCATTGGCACCTGGTGTTATCAGACTTAGTTGGCCAAAGTGATGAATGTGAAATGGTATTTCATTTTTCTTTTATATTTTACTGATAATTCATGTGGTTTTGTGTCTCGTGTTTATTAGGCATTCAGGTTTTCAGTTTATAATCTGCCGGTTGATATCCCTTGCCTATTTTCTATTGAGTTGTTTGGCTTTTTCTTATTGATCTGTTATAGTTCTTTACATATACTTATCTTTTCTTGTAGGATTACAAATATATTTTCCTAGTCTTTGGTCTTTTTACATTTGTTGCTTCTTATCATTTAAAAATATGTTAGTTTTAATTTGGTCAGTCAATCTTTTCCTTAATGTTTTGTGCTTATTTATATTACTTAGCAAATTCTTTCTTAGCCCTAATATGATAAACATATCCTCTCATTTTTCTTCCAAAAGTTTATAATTTTGCTTTTCATATTTATATCCATAATCCATCTGGAATAAAATTTCTAGAGGTGGGAATCTAATTTATCTTTCTCTGCATGAATGTCAGTTGACCAAGCACTATTTATTTCACATTTTTCCTTCAGATTTGTTATGCCACCTCTAATAAGTATAAACTCCCCTATTACATGTGTGTTATTTCTAGGCTCTCCATCCTATTCCTTTGGTCTACTTGTCTGTCTGTGTGTCTATTCCACACTGTTTTAATTATGCCAGCTGCATAGTATATATGGATGAGCAAGTCCTCTCTTATATTTTTTCTTGAATTGCATTGGCTTTTTTTTAATCACTTAATCTTTTCTATGAATTTAAGGATCACCTTATTAATCTCAATGAAAAACTTTATTGGGACTTTGGAATTGCATTGAATTATAGATTAATTAAAGAGGCACTGCCGTCACTACATTATTAAGTCTTCTCATCCATGAAAATGGTATGCCTTTGTACTTATTTGTGACATCTTTTATGAATTCAGTAAAATTGTATATCTTTTTTGGGGGGGATTAATTCTTCTTTTTTATTATTATTTTATGTTAATCACCATACATTACATCATTAGTTTTTGATGTAGTGTTCCATGATTCATCGTTTGCATATAACACCCAGTGCTCCATTCAGTACGTGCCCTCTTTAATACCCATCACCAGGCTTACCCATCCCCCCCTCCCCTCCCCTCTAGAACCCTCCGTTTGTTTCTCAGAGTCTACAGTCTCTCATGGTTCATCTCCCCCACCGATTTCCCCCCCTTCACTTCTCCCTTCCTACTATCTCCTTTTTTTTTTTTTTTAACATATAATGTATTATTTGTTTCAGAGGTACAGGTCTGTGATTCAACAGAGTCACACAATTCATAGCGCTCACCATAGCACATGCCCTCACCAATGTCTATCACCCAGCCACCCCATCCCTCCCACCCCCCACCATTCCAGCAACCCTCAGTTTGTTTCCTAAGATTAAGAATTCCTCATATCAATGAGATCATATGATACATGTCTTTCTCTGAGTGACTTATTTCACGCATAATACCCTCCAGTTCCATCCACGTTGTTGCAAATGGCAAGATTTTATTCCTTTTGATGGCTGCATAATATTCCATTGTATATATACACATCTTCTTTATCCATTCATCTGTCGATAGACATCTTGGCTCTTTCCATAGTTTGACTTTTGTGGACATTGCTGCTATAAACATCGGGGTGCACATACCCCTTCGGATCACTACATTTCTATCTTTTTCCATCAGAGTATTGCACATTTTTTACTAGAAAGTTTATAAACAGAAAGTTTTTATTTTATTTTTTAAAAGTTAAGAAACCCAGGGCACCTGGGTGGCTCAGTTGGTTGAGTGATCAACTTTTGATTTTGACTCAGGTTGTGATCTTAGGGTTGTGGGCTCGAGCCCCACATCAGGCTCCACCCTCAGTGGGGTGTCTGCCTCTCTCCCCCTCCCTCTACCCCTCCCCCCACCCTTGCTTTCTCTCTCTAAAATAAATAAATAAATCTTTTTTAAAAATCAAGAAACCCAAGTTATTGAGTCTCTGATGATTTGACAATGATGTTTCAGACTGAGGACTAAATGCTTTTCAGACATTATCTTATTTAATACCATATAACAACGCTATGAGGTATAGGTATTTTTATTATGCTCACTTGGCAGATGAGGAATGTGAGGATCAGAGAGGAAATGTAACTTGTTCAAGGTCACCCACAAGTAATTAGCAGAGCCAAAATTTGAACACAATCAGTCTGACTTGAAAACAAGTTTATCCTGCATGTATGTGCATTTACTTTTTATAAGACTAGTAAGTTCTTTAAAGGAAGAGGTGGGTCTCATGGGTTGTTTTTTTCCCTTTTGCACAAAACTCTAAGCATTTTTTCTATATATAAAACAAATACCTATTGACTAATTCAGATAAATCCTATCACACTGTTTTATAATAAATATAAATATTTGGTAAATTCAAACTATGAGTAAAACCCTAATATCTCCAGATAAATTAAATAATTTAATCATCATTACAGCCTCATAAGACAAGTATTTTTATGAAACTGGACAGATTCCTGACTTACAATCAAGGCCTTCAGATATTTTTGCTATTAGTAGAAACTTAAGTCTGACTTAGATAATAATTTAGGTAATTTTGTCACTTGTTAAAATTATATGATTCTTACAGAAAAAGAAGGCATTCCAAGAATTTTCTGGATTGGCTTAAATCAGCTATACTCTGCTAGAGGCTGGGAATGGTCAGACCACAGGCCATTAAACTTTCTCAACTGGGACCCAGGTAACTGCTCCCTCCTCCACCTGCTATGCACAGAGCAAAAGCTCCAAAAAAGTAAATAAACAAAAGCATCCCACTCACTGATAGCTTATAAAAATTTCAAATCTTGACAACTGTTATTATGGTTACTTCTCCAAAGAATTTTTTCCCCTAATTCCTTCTTTACTGTGATACCATTATAGACAAGTTGAACCATATCATGGATAACTGAGCATTTGTCTCTAACCTTTACGGCAACCCTACATTTTTAAGTAACAGCAGAATAAACCCCATCACATGGCCTAGAAGCTGTTCTGTATCCCTCAGGCAACTTGACGTGTCTATGACTAACCTGTGTTGTTTCATCTGCAGCTCAAATCCATACAGAAATATGTTCTCATTTTAAAACTCTTGGGGTCTCATACGGTAGTCCTCAAGTACTAACAACATAATGGCTGTATTTTATTACACAAATGAATACCTTAAAGAAAATTTTATAGTGAATAAAACAAACAAAATCCTACTTAGCCAAAAGATTTTTCTCCCCAAAAGAAGTTTAGATACCTTTTTTTAAAAAATAAAATCTTGGGCTTCTGACAAATGTAGAACCTAAGAGTTAACACTAGCTTCAATACGAAAGTATCCTGTACACATAAAAGAAAAATGGGTTAAGTGCAATAAAATACCAATAGGTCATTTTAGTTTAATGAAACTTCATTATTAGTGAATAAATTCTCTATTATCTCAGTAAATAAAATCTTTAAAGATAATTTAACTTTTAATTCAAGGTCTTAAGGGCATTACAGAATCATAAATTAGAATATTTATTATATAGAGTAGATTAAGAGCTACCGTCTGCAGAGTATGATATGGAAATTGATTGGGGGCAGAGGTTTGTTTTTGATTTTTGGTTTTGTTTTTTAAGTTAACTATACTGTGTCATAGTATTTGGCCTTGGATCCTGTATTTTAGAAGGAAGACGTATTTAAGCACATGGGTGTTCATTGAGGCTTATACATCTCAATTTAATAGAAGGTTTAACTATTTTATGAGTTCCAATAAAAGCAGAAAATTAGGAATACAAATTATTTTTTCTAACCACCACTCTGGGCCTAACCTTCTCTTTCTAATTCTTTGAAAATTCTACCGTTTAAGATATGCCTAGTGCACCTATGATAATAGGCGGATCCAGCTGTGCGAGAATGGATGCCATGTCTGGTCTATGGCAGAGTTTTTCCTGTGAAGCTCAATTGCCCTATGTCTGCAAGAAACCATTAAATAACACAGTGGAGTTAACAGGTATCTTTTTCATTTCCTTGTGCAAGTAGGTCTTAAAATTATAGTTTTGTGAAGTCAAGTAGATCCATTTCAGATATCTAATTCTACCTTTCCTTCACCTGTTCCTGCCAATGCCAAAAACTACTTCATTTAGACCCTGTGGTTGGCTATTATTAACTTTATATGTGTAAAGCTTTGGTTTGGTATATCGCCATAAGAAGGCAGAGGTATTCTAGGTAAGAAATACATTTCTGTTCACAGGTGGCTCTTTTTTCTTTGGAACAGTGGTGCTCAGAGTATGGTTCCTAGACCAAGAGTATCAGTATCACCTGTACCTGTTTGAAATACAAATTCTTAGGAACCCCCCCCCCAGACTTACTGAATCAAAAGTTCTGCAGGCCCCAACAATCTGTGTTTTAAGAAGCCTTCCTGGAGATGCTGATGCACACTCAGGTTTTATGTATGACTTGCCTCTGTGAAAAGTAGAAAACGACGGATGGGGGAACTCTTCTAGGGTTTCCAGTTCCTGCCCCGCGATGCCCACCTCTGCTCTGTCCTTCTTTGCCAGGCTGCTTCTTTAGGTTGTTGTGTTGATAAATCAGGTAGAAAAGGGGAGGTGCAGAAAGACAAACGTGTACAAGGAGGGTTTGTTTTTTTTTTCAAGGGATTTCAGAGATAAGAGAAACATGGAACAGTTGAAGTTTCTGAGGTGCAGAGAAACTTCAGAAGCCTTTGAAAGAATAAGAAGAGGGCCCTTACTATCTTGCACAAGCCCCACCACATACCTGGTATTTGATTAAATCCTCCTGAATAAGAAAAACTATTACTCAAAACTGGGAGGGAAAAAAAAGGAGGTTTTAAAATGTCTTGTTTAAAGAATGTTGGGGAAGGGAATAAAATTTCTTACCCATATAGGAGCATAAAGCTATTCTTTAAGACTAAAAAATAAATATATAGAATAAAGATTGTCAGGAGATGTTTTATTAAAATATAGGGGGAAATGAACATTCATCTTCCAAGTTGATTCAAACCAAATTTAGTCCACACAAAAAAGCATAATAGAAAAGACAGCACAGATGAAAATAAACCAGGGTGACTGATGACAGATCAAATAAATATGCTGCAGTAGCAATTATTAAGTAAATCATGATGTTTCCACATGATCGAGTAATATGCATTTATTAAAATAACTGTGCCAACAGGAAAATACAAGAGCAGAGCAAAATGATATGCCTACTTCTCATTTTAATCTTGTAAAAATATGTATTCATAGAGACAAAGACTAGAATAGGAAAATGTTTGTTCTAAGTTCAATTATGGGTATTTTTTCCTCTGTTCCTTTATCATAATTGTAAAATAAAATAATAATAATAATAATAGCAGCAAGTGCTATTTCAGAAACTTAAAATTGAGTTATCTTGCAAGTGTGAGAAGCTAACTGGACCTGAATTTTATCTTTAAATGAAGAATAAACTGTCCACATTTTTAAGATGCTGTGTTTTCTTTTTTTTTTAATATTTTATTTATTTATTTGAGAGAGAGAAACAGCATGAGAGGGGATAGGGTCAGAGGGAGAAGCAGGCTCCCCAATGAGCCGGGAGCCCGATGGGGGACTCGATCCCAGGACTCCGGGATCATGACCTGAGCCGAAGGCAGTCGCTTAACCAGCTGAGCCACCCAGGCGCCCAAGATGCTGTGTTTTCATACAACAGACATTCCAAACAGTTCAGAATCCATGAAGTCTGAGTAATTGACTTAATTTCTAATTCTATTAAGAAGGATAGAAATATTTTGTGCGGTTTTATACCTCAGTCTTTTTCTCCAGTCTTTCTTGACCATCATCTGAGTGAGTTTTAACATGATCAAAACAAAGAATCACTAATTGCATGAGGATGTAGGTCTACAAGCGGGAAGGAAAGAAGAGGTCCAGAGAGGTCCTGTGCCCTTTCCCTTGAATTGCTATCTTCTCTTTCATGTGGAGTTTTAAATGTTTTACTCTATTCCTTAAATCTCTGTCTTTTGTCCAATGGTAGGCATGAATGCACATCCCCTGCTAATCTGACCATACATGAAAGGAGGCTGGACTTCGTAACCTCTCAAAGTCAGAGATTGGAGGGGAACCTAACAAATCCCCATACCAAGGAAGATTGGTCAGCAACTGGCTTACCCCACACAATTCTCCTGTCTATTAGGACTAAGGGCAGTCCCTCCTCAAATAGTCGGAGCCTAATCATGTAGCACATTTGTATCACATTACAGTCATATCGTTATCTTTACCCTTGCAGTCATTCTTATGATGCTATGTAGAATGAAGCAACACATAAATTCATGTCCCTGTGCTATTTGACATCCCATTCCCCCGTTTTCCAGAATCTTGATGATTTAAGAAGGAAGAATTTGCAATGTTATTGATTCAAAATAGATGTATCTTTACTGGAACATAAATAGCTGCTTTTCCTGCAGATGTTTGGACATATTTAGATACACACTGTGATGCAGGCTGGCTGTCAAATAATGGTTTTTGCTATCTGCTGGTAAATGAAAGTGATTCCTGGGATAAGGCACATACGAAATGCAAAGCCTTGAGCGGCGATCTCATCAGCATTCATTCTTTAGCAGATGTGGAGGTGGTTGTCACAAAACTCCATAATGGCGGTAAGTTTTTAAAATATCCTATTTGAGAGGTTTAAAACATTCTAAGGTACCCCTATTTTTAGACTCTTGGTGGGAATGAAAGCTTACAATTTGATCCTTACAGATCAGCACTGTCCAATAGCATTTTCCGTGATGATGGAACTGTTCTATAATCTGTACTGTCCAGTACAGCCGCCACCAGCCATTTGTGGCTTGTGAACACTTGCAATGTAACTGAGGAACTGATTTTTACTTTTATTTAATTTTAATTAATTTACAAATAGCCACATGTAGCTAATAGCTGCCAATTTGACAGCATAGCCAGTGATTGAATAATTTCCCTCTTCTCATAAACTAAGTGCTATTTAAGTTGCTCCAGATGCTTAAGTGATGATTATTTCACGATTATTTCACTTTTGTAATTATTTAAAGGCTAAAGACTGAAGAACAAAAATACACTAGACAGGCTGTATTATATCCTCCTCCTAGGATTCACTAATAGTAATAGCTAATAATAGACACCTATTCTGTGTCAGCATGGTGTTAATTGTTTCCCCTGGGAGGACAGCATCATCATCCCAGGGCAGGGATGGACATCAATCCTATTCTAACTGGAGTATCTATGATTGTATTTGTAGAATTTCATTGCAGTTTTCCCCTGCTGTCCAAAAGGAGACTGTTCTTATGAAACCTTTCATAAACCAAAATGGCATAAAAACAAAGAAGCAAACACCATTTTGTAAAAGCAAAAATCCACCTCAGATTTCTTTCACTTAGTGAAAACAGGCGGTAAAAGTGAAGTGGCAGAAAGAGCTTTCGGATAGCAGAGGAAATCTGTATAACCCATAAAGCAAGGTTTATCTAAATCAGATAGCAGGAACACCTAACCTACAGATCACAGTGTGGCTTTTCCACTGTGTACTCTGACTGCATAAGTACCCTGAAACCCCTTGACTCCTGGCCTGCCTAAATTATCAATATTTTCATAGATTGATTATAGATACCATGGAGGCTCCTAAAACCCCATTATCAGAATGTAAAATCAATAACAATATACATATTGAAGTATGTAATTGAGTAAAACCAAATAAATAAAATATTTTTCTTTTAGATGCCAAAGAAGAAATATGGATAGGTCTTAAGAACAAAAATGTACCAAGTTTATTTCAGTGGTCTGATGGTACTGAAGTTACTCTAACATATTGGAATAAGAATGAGCCAAATGTTCCCTACAATAAGACTCCCAACTGCGTTTCCTATTTAGGAAAGGTAGGAAACTTCCTGTGGCTTATTTATATTCTTATTGTATACCAAATAATATTAAGATGATTTTGGTTGGGATATTTGTGTTTAAGCCTAGAAAGAAAATAAAAGGTCATAGCCCTGTAGATTGTCTTTCTGGAAGCTACTGGAAAAAAGATGTAAATAAAACAATGACTAAGTAAGCAATCCACTTCCTGTCTGAGAGTATCTGCTCTGGTCTGAAACACATGAAGGAAATCCCGTTAGAACTCAATTCTTGTGCCAGATTGGTTCTAATAAGCTGCTTTCTCTCTGGACCATCAGTATATTTAACATAACCACAACTTAAGGGAAAAATCCCATCTTCTGAATTCATGTTCAGATTTTTATATTAATCTTAATTTGAGAAGTGAAAAAATATTTTTATTTAAAAATTAGGTCCAGGGGCGCCTGGCTGGCTTAGTCAGTGGAGCATGCAACTCTTGATCTCCAGTTTATGAGTTCAAGCCCCACACTGGGTGTAGAGATTACTTAAAAAAAGAAAATCTTTAAAAATTAATTAATTAATTAAAAATTAAGTCTAATGTTTTTCAGAGAACAGCTTTCTTCTGTAGAATGCTTAACTATTTATTGAACATGCTTTAGTTAAGAGTCCAAAATAGGCTGCATGTTGAGAGAAAAGACATGTGTATCTTTATATTTTGTTTGTATCACTTTCCTGGGGACTTCTAATTATTTAGGAGGCTTGTGTCCCCCAAACTTCTAGAGAGACTTAAGTGGAAGTAATAAATGATATGTGTATTTAGGAGTGTTTCAAGAGTAAAGATGTATCTAGAAAGGTGTCATAGATGAATTTAGAAGGGTGTCACATTTGGTGCTCTATTTAAAAGGGTATTTAAGATGTCTTTGATACAGTGTCAAAGATAGAAATGAGATCCCACAGGCAAGACTAAACTGATAACATACCTAGACAGCATTCCAGTGTTTGAAACTGACTCTTATCACAATTAACTTGTTGAAATTTAATTTGAAGAAAGCAGAGTGACTTAAGCAAAAGTCATGCTAAGAGAGAATTTTAAAGTCTAAGCTAAAGTAAAGTGGAAGGAACTTTTGATTCTGGAATTCTTGGAGAGTAGCTGTTCTAATTACCATGATTATGTTATATATGAGGAGACTGAAATAGCATGGTTGGTTGACATGTCCGCAAGTTTTTAACCAATGGGCAAACTTTGACCATGTCATGTGGGAGAAGACTTGAACACTGTCAACTGCGTGTAGGCTGAGTTCTTCTTTCTTCAACTTCTGTACTAAATGTCCTTTGATGGTTTTATTGTTACTCTTCTAAGAAAATGGAATTCATCTCCACTATGATCTTGAGGTGGTGCTGAAATTACAGACTGTGAGCCACAACCTTGCAGGACTGTCGGGTAGCATTTCCTAGGAGTATGTTCCCAGACATAGTCATTCATTTTCCTTTTCCCTCCCCTTCCTCCTCCCCTTGCCCCTTGCTCACAGTTTTGTGAGAAGAAACTATCTTGATTTAAAATAAGTTAGAGTTCAACTCTAAATATATGGCAAATAATTTCTCTGTGGAAAAAATTTTTTTCTATTTTTAAAAAGTTAGGTCAGTGGAAGGTCCAGTCCTGTGAAGAGAAACTTAAATATGTATGTAAGAAAAAGGGAGAACAAGTGAATGATACAACATCTGACAAGATGTGTCCTCCAGATGAGGTATGTAAAGTCCCTATGTAAGTTTTTCTAAGCAATATTACACCTTCTTGGTTAAGGATGGTAGGTGAGACTGAAACAATTCAGACTTGGAAAATAGAAGAAATGGCTACCTTCTGTTCATTTACATTAGAGCAAATCAGAGGGCAGTGAATCATTACATATTGGCGTTCTTAGAGAAGAAAAAACGTTATAGGAAAGAGTTATCTGTTCATGATTTCTATAAAAATGTATGTGATTATAATCCTTAATGCTGATGTCTTTACTTCCCCCATTTATATTTTTCCTCTCCAAAAATAGTTCAACCAACAACGTTATAGTCTTATGAGGAGCTAGGCCCTGGAGGCAAAGAGAAATAAGACACACCTTCTGTCTGACACAAGCTCACAATCCTGTAGGAGTTATCTATGAAGTTGTATCCCACCTTCATCATGTGTATGAATTACCGGTCCATGTCCTTGATTCCTCTAAGTGTGAGATGTTACCAGTGTAGCAGAATCATGCTTAGAGGTAGGACATTAAGTCTGAACAGTGTGATATTTCTCCTCTGATTTAGGGCTGGAAAAGACATGGAGAAATCTGTTACAAGATTTACAAGGACGAGGTCCCTTTTGGAACCAACTGCAATCTGACTATAACTAGCAGGTATGACCATCAGTAAACATGTACTGGTGAACTTTTAACTCTGGGTTAGCTTTACGAAATAAGTCTCCTAAGGGAAAGGTGCATTTTCAATTTACATAGCAATTCAATCATTATAAAAACACCTACTAATTTAACTCTTGTTTTGTAGATTTGAGCAAGAATACCTGAATGATATGATTAAAAAGTATACTAAATCTCCAGGAAAATACTTCTGGACTGGCCTGAGAGATATAGATTCACATGGAGAGTATAGCTGGACAGGAGTTGGTGGAGTAAAGCAAGCTGTAACATTTTCCAACTGGAATTTTCTTGAGCCAGGTGAGTGCCTTACTCTTAAAGTAGTAGAATATATTGTTTTGTGAAATGCAGTGTACCTCCCAGATATGGTCTTCACTTAGCTTTGAAATGTGAGGCAAATGATGATCTTCAGGATGAGAGTCTGTCTATGCAACCATAAATAGAAGCAGTGACTGTGTCTCCCTTATGAAATCCTTGGGAATAACCCCCCAAAAGGAGCTAAAAAACTCAGTTTTCAGAAACCACCCTCTAATGGCACAAAGCTAGAACCATCAATGCAAGTTTATCTTTTCCATGTAAGTCTCAAACAGAATCTAGAAGCTTCATTTTGAAGTGCTTTACACTTTCATCTCTCTGCTTTTTTCTCTTAGCTTATTTCTCCAAAATTGAATGTGTTTATTTCTATTATTCCAAATGGGTGAGAATTAAGGAGGCAATATTGTAGGTATTATTTATCTGAAAGTTAGTTCATCTTTCTTTAACAAGCTCAAAGCATTGACCATAATTGGCCATGGAATCAGAATATTGTGAACCAGAAAGGACCTCAGAAGTCCCTTCTGATTTTAGAGTTGAGAAGACAGAATCTCAGAGAGGTGATCTACTTGACAAATGTTACCTAGTTATTGAATTACTAAAACCCAGATCCCCTGATTTCTAATCAAATGCTTTGTATTGGATTTTGGCTTTCTATAAAAAAAAGCTAATATGAACTACTTAGGCTATGCTGAGCAGCTTAGTAATTTCGGGTACAGCTCCAGATGCAGACCACCTGGGTTCCAGTTCTGGATCAACCACTTACTAACATGTGACCTTGGACAAGTCACTAATCCTCACTGTACCTTAGTATGACAGTAGAATCGACTCTGGAGGTCAGTTGTAAGGACTGATTCATTTGATACTGTTAGAATAGTACCTGGCAGGTAATAAACACTTCTCTTTATTACCATCATCGTCGTCATCATCATCATCATCATTATTATGAACAACACATTTCTTTCTTCTGTTATCTTTTATATTCTTTCTCCAGACCTTGGCCCAAATAAAGGGCAAGGATACTAGAAAGTATTTGGACTTTAATTTTCAAATGTAATGTTTAATTAAACTTTCTGATTCAACCCCAGCTTCTCCAGGCGGGTGTGTGGCTATGGCTACTGGAAAGTCTCTTGGAAAGTGGGAGGTGAAAGACTGCAGAAACTTCAGAGCGCTCTCGGTTTGCAAGAAAATAAGTGGGCCCATTCAGCCTGAAGAAGAAGTAGCTCCTAAGCCTGAAGACCCCTGTCCTGAAGGCTGGCATAGTTTCCCCTCAAGTCTTTCTTGTTATAAGGTAAAGTAACATTCTCATTTAGTTCCTTAATGAGGTTATCTTTCTACTATCCTAGTCCATATGCTTGTAGAAATTATGCTCCTCTCCAGGCACATATGTAACCTACCAACGTGTTTGCGAGCACCATTGAACCTTTGTCATGAGACAGCTCATCCCCAGATGAACTCATGTCTTACCCAAAAGAGCAGGGCCAGAGCCAGAACTCGCTCTTTCCTAGTGTTCTTTTGTTCTGAGAAGTTAAGTAAGCTACATGCCATGCTGACACTTTGCTTAGTATTCTCATATCCCTCTAATCCTTATGTCAAATGAAGAATTCTATCACTTCTTATAATTTAAAAAAAATTTATTCTGGGGCCTCTATAAGTCAGCTGTTCCCCAAAGAAACCATTACATACCATCCCAAAACTCAGTGGCTATAACAACAAACATTCAGTCCCATGCTCACAGATCTCTGGGTCAAACAGGGATTGATTGTTTTAGTTTAGGCTTGAATGGTGAGCTCTGCTTTCAACTGTGGGTCAGCTATGCTGGGCTCCAGGCTATGAGTTGGGATGTGCTGCCTTTTGATTGGTCTCAGGCTGAAGCGTCAGTAGCTACCAGGGGCTTGTTCTTCTTATGGTCAGTTGCTGGAGCCTGAGAGGAAAGCCTAACCATGTAAGCACATTTCAGGCCTCTGTTCATTGTACCTCCACTAATAGGCCATCGATCACAGCAAGTTACATGGCCAGGCCCCAAATCAAGGTACAGAGAAGGACACTTCACCCACCAGGAGGCCATGGCAAGAATATACGGTTATATCACAGGGAACTGAAGAACTGGGATCAGTAATTCAATCTACCATTGTATCATCCCCTCTTCTTCTTTTTTGGGAAAAAATTAATCCTCACAAACCAAAGAAAGAGTCTGAAGTGGCAAGTTTTGTTTCACCACCCTCTCTCAATATTAGCGCACCAGTGCAATCTGCCCTTTGCTTCATCTTCATCAGAAAATAGGCCTGTACTTATACTGGTCTTAGTGTATTATGTTCATAATTATGTTGTTTCTCTGCAGAAGTCTACTCCCAAAGTATTCATATGTATCCTTTATAGCCTTACCTGCTGGTCCTAGGAATGTGGGAGAATATGATGTCTTGTCGGAGCAGTTCCCCATCCTGGCTGAGGAAGGGCATCCATCTGACAGCAGTAGCTGGCCCCTGTCCTGGCCTTTTAGTTGACACTTTCAGCAGGTCCTGTTTGTGTCACAGTATATGTTTTTTCACCTGTTTTTATTACAGGTAAAAATAAAAACATTTTCATGTTATTATTACATGTATGAGAATCCATTTCAGAAGCCTACACATTTGAATTTAAGAAACAAAATAAAAGAACAAAGGGGAAAAAAAGAGAAACCAAAAACAGACTCTTAACTATAGAGAACAAACTGAGGGGAAGTGGGTGGAGAGATGGGTGAAATAGGTGATGGGGATTAACAAGTACACTTATGATGAGCACTGAGTAATGTATTGAATTATTGAATCACTCTATTGTACACCTGAAACTAATATAACACTGTATGTTAATTATATTTGAATTAAAATAGGAAACTTAATTTTAAAACCTACACATTTGACCATAATAAACTTTGAAATTATGAATACTTCATGATTATGCCAGAAAAGAGATTAACATTGTGTCTTGTTAAGCTGTTTCATATAGAAAGAATTGTAAGAAAAAGGAACTGGGAAGAAGCTGAGAGATTCTGCCAAGCTCTTGGAGGACACCTTCCTAGCTTCACTCATACGGATGAAATAAAGGAATTTCTTCACTTTTTAATGGACCAGTTCAGGTAATACTTTTAGAATGAGATCTTTTATGCTAAATTTAATGTCCTCCAGGTATTCAGAATTGACATGTTTTATTTTCTAAAAGGGTCATTCAGTGCTAAGCAGTCATTCAACATCAAGCATTTTTATGTGCAAGACACTATAAATAATTCAAAGATGAGGGAAATAGAATCCCCATCCTTTATGTGGCATGATAAAGTCCAACAGTGGGGATAAGAAAAGTATGGTGAAAATCTAGAACAAAGGTAAGGAGGGACCATGGAATTCTAAAGTCAGATGAAGTGCTTTGGGGAGTTATAATTGGGAAAAATGTTATGAAGAAGAATGGTTCTTAGAAAGTAAGGTAGTATTTTGAAAGGTAAGACCAGGAGAAGGAGCCAGAGAAAACAGAACATTAGCAAAGGTACTGAGACCAGAGTGTACAGATATGGTCAGGGAGAAATGAGTCATACCACTTAGCTAGAAAATGAGATTTGGATATGAAATTGGAGCATCCTTCTTTGCCAGGGAAAGAGTTTGATCTTAAGTCAATAAGCAAAAAACAAACAACAACAAAGGTGTTTATATGTGTGTGTATGTGTGTATATATAAAGAAAGAGAGAAAGAGAGGGGAAAGAGAGAGATGGTAGGTAGATGCAGGACAAGTAATTAGAAGGCTATTACAGCGCTTTGGTGGAAAACTACTTTGAGAATGGGTAGGAAGAATGTGAATATAGGGAAGTAATCAGAGATGCTACAAAGACAGAATCAATAAGGCATTGTGATTTTGATCTTATGGTGGAAGGATTCCTGGATGATTTTCCTGATGTCCTTAGGGACAATGTGGAGGAATATGGACCAGGTGATGCTGTCATAGGAGAAAAATTTCTCTGAAGCTTTGGGAGCAAACATGAGTATGAGGGCCTTCAACTTCACAAATTTATTTTTTTCCTTCCCTCATTTTTATGAACTGAAAAGAAGACCCAAATCTGTAAATCAAGGATTCGGGTGTACCAGGCAAAATTATGGAAAAGAAATTACCGTTTAGATATATCCTTGTGAATACTTTCCATCATTTTGACTCAAACAAAAGCCTGAAAGAATAATAGCAAAAAAAAAAAAATAAACAAAACAGGTAACAAAACACAAAACCCAGGTAGCTTCTTCTGTAGGACATTATATGTAGGAAGGCATTTAAAAACTGACATCTAAAGAGTTTTGAGGTGGGGGCACCCGGTGGCTCGGTCTGTTAAGCAGTTAAGCATCTGCCTTCAGCTCAGGTCATGATCCCAGAGTCCTGGGATCAAGCCCTGCATCCAGCTTGGGGATCCTGCTTCTCCTTCTCCCACTCCCCCTGCTTGTGTGCTCACTCGCTCTCTCCCTCTCTCTCTCTGAATCTTTTTTAAAAATAGAGTTTTGAGGTGGAAAATGTTTGCAGTATATTAATTTTAGTTCTCAATTACATTGCTTTTTGTTTGTGAAGATTATTATTGATATAACCCTATAGCTTCCTTCTCGAAAAAAATTCAAAGACACATTCCAGCTGAGAGATGAATTAAAAATCAGGAACACATGAATAGGTAGTTTATTTTAAAAGAATTAGGAGGAAGAATATATAATGTAAAAACATCCCCAGTCTAAATAATGCAATATGTATATGCAATAATAAAAATAGAAAGAAATTATCCTAAATCCTGAAAGAGAAACATGAGAATATTTTAATAAGACCAGGTGTTTAACTCTGTTTATAAATAAAAACTGGGATATAAAGAGATAAAATGGTTGTAAAAAATGAAAGTATAATAAATTCCTCATTTACCTAAAATTCATATTTAGAAACACAAATTATATACATTTTTTAAAACAGAGTGTGTTTATTTACTGAATATATAATGGGTGAAATAAAGGTTTATATAGTAAATTATAAAGAAATGAAATAACAAAGCAGGAAATCCAATATAAAGCAAGATGGCAGAAGACCAGATTTATCTCTTACCAGTTATGTTTAAGTATAAGTCTGCAAATTTCTTCAATAATGAAATTCAACTATATGCTGTTGAAAAATACCTCAAACGAATCTTACCAATTAGTACCTATCCAGCCCAAAGAGTATGATGTTCTTTTCCTAGAAGGAAGAAGCTACAAAGTGTTTCAAAGTTGAGAAATTTTGATAAAAATCCATATTTTTAACACTTCTTTAAAAATTAAAACAACAGGACACATTTTCATATTGTAGCAATAATTGGTTAGTCCTGAGTAGCCAATGGCTTACCAAGATAGGGCATCACTCTACGATTTGTGGTGGTCTCTAATTTATTACTCCTTGATCCACTTCACTTAGTTATGTTCTTGTCCCATATTAACCTAAATAGCATTTGAGTTAATAATCACAAACTTAGGGGCACCTGGGTGGCTCAGTTGGTTAAGTGACTGCCTTCGGCTCAGGTCATGATCCTGGAGTCCCGGGATCGAGTCCCACATCGGGCTCCCTGCTCGGCAGGGAGCCTGCTTCTCCCTCTGACCCTCCCCCCTCTCATGTACTCCCTCTCTCTCATTTGCTCTCTCTCAAATAAAAATAAATAAAATCTTTAAAAAAAAAATAATCACAAACTTAATACAGTAACTAAAATGGGAAAATTAAAAGAATGAGCAAAATTATATTGTGCAAATGTGAACAAAAAACTGGAGTTACAGTATTATTATTAGATAAAATACAAGTGAAGTAAAAATGCACCAGATGGGGAAATGAGATCTATTTCATATTGAATAAAGGTACAATCTACAACAACATTATAATAGTCAAGAACCATTACACATTTAATAATATTGGCATCAAAATATATGAAGCAAAAAAATTACTTATATTAGTGAAATTCTCCAATAAATAACAATAATGGGAGACTTTAACACTGTCTGATTCATCAACAAGTGAGACAGACAAAAGGAAATAATATACGAATAGTATAATTAAGATTGATTTAACCATATCCTCTTTGTTCATATATTACAAAGTCTATATATATTTTCTCTTCAGGCTCTTTGCCTGTATCACTTACAATAATTGATCTATTAGACTAAAAAGAAAATCTAAAATTCCAAAGTGGTGAAATTATACAGGTACATAAGAAGTGAAGTCAAACCCTATCCACTTATAAATTCAATGTTTCTAAGTAACTTTTTTGTCAAATAAATCAAAACTGAATAGATGATAATCACAACACTCATTCTGAAATTAATGGGATATAGCCAAAGCTATAGTTGGAGGTACATTAATAGCTTTAAGAGCTTTAATTATTAAACAAAAATAATAAAAATAAGCATTCACGTAAAAGTAAAATAAATTTCAACATCAATACAAGGAAACCATAAGAAAGAACATAATAAAGATTTTGTATAAGGATAAAGATACTTAAAATGAAGACTTAGTAAGGGATTATAAAACCCATTTCATGGAGAAATTTTTTAATTGGTAAGAATACTATGCATAATTCTATGCTGTTACAAATGAAGTTGTTAAAATGAACAATTTCTAGAGAAATACAAATTACTATACAATTGATATATTAAGTAGAAACCAAGTAATTTAATAGCCATGAAAGAAATGGAAAAAGTTAACAAAGAATTTCTTCCAAGAAAGAGATAGAAAGCATAATATATGGTTATATATGTGAATTTCTTTACATTTTATTTTATTTTTTTTAAAGATTTTATTTATTTGACAGAGAGAGACACAGCAAGAGAGGGAACACAAGCAGGGGGAGTGGGAGAGGGAGAAGCAGGCTTCCCGCGGAGCAGAGAGCCTGATGTGGGGCTGGATCCCAGGAACCTGGGATCATGACCTGAGCCGAAGGCAGACGCTTAACGACTGAGCCACCCAGGCGCCCCAATTTCTTCACATTTTAAAGAAGTGATCATTACCTTGTATTTCAGTAGTACAAGCAAGGGCTTGTATTCCATTACATAGAAACTGATAGAGACATCTGGTTTATTTTGCAAACTAGTTTAATTCTGATATCAAAGCCTATCAACAAGAGCACAAAGAATTACAGACCAACCTCATGACTAGACTTGAAAAAGTAAATACTGGTAAGTGATAGAATAACAAGCACTGATAGAGTGCTTATTATGTGCCAGATAATGTCCTAAGTGTTTTCTATTAGCTCATTTAATCCTTACAACAACCTATGAGGTCCGTACTATTACAATGACCATTTTATCTCAATGAGAAAACAGATACAGAGAAGTAAAACAATTTGCCCATGGCTATATAAATAATAAGTAAAGGATCCAATATTTGAACTATTAGAGCCCACTTCCTTCACCCACTACATTATAGTACACCAAAATAACATACCTTGACCGTGTAGGATTTCTTCCAAGAATACAAGGTTGGGTTAGTGCTAGGAACTCTGTATATCAGGTCAAGTGTCATATGAACATCTTACTGGGTGCTGAAAATACATCTGGTAAAATTCACTATTCATTCCTGGTTTAATATATAAATATATCGTAAAGTTAACATAATTAACATACAAATTCTTGGTAAAGTAAGAATAGGAGGATGGGGGTGCCTGGGTGATTCAGTCAATTAAGTGTCTGCCTTCAGCTCAGGCCATGATCCCAGGATCCTTGATCCCTGGTCATGATCAGGCTCCTTGCTCAGCAGCGAGCCTGCTTCTCCCTCTGCCCCAATCCCCTACTCCTTGCTCAGCAGGGAGCCTGCTTCTCCCTCTGCCACAACCCCCTCTCTTGAGTGCTCTCTCGATCTCAAATAAATAAATAAATAAAATCTTAAAAAAAAAAAAAGAAGGATAGTTCAATCAATAGCCATATCACATCTAATGAGTAAATATTAAATGCACTTCTGTAAAAGTCAGAAAAAGATAAAGATCCCTATTATCATCACTATTATTGATCTTTGTTTGGAATTTATACCCTGTGCATTAAGGTTTTTTTTAAAAAAAATATTATAGCATGCAAATATTTACAATATATTAAGTGGGAGGAAAAGCAAATTATGGAA